TCTGTTAATTTTTCCTGCCTTCAAAAAATTGTTTATTTATTCGTTTTTATGTAACGCATTTTTTATTGATAATTATGTAGTTTTATTCCCTCATTGCTATAAATTATGTTACGTTTTAAATTTCTTTTTATGCTTTACCCTAACTTTGTACATATGTAATTTATTAAATAATAATTCGTCTAAGTGATTTAAACGATAGTTGAATATTTAAAAATAAGATAAATTATAATGTATAAAATATCTTGAAAAAAAAAATTAACAAAAAATCAATTAAAATAGGAAAGAACCACTCCGTAACATAGTAACGCGTGATAGATCAACTGTTTTACGAGGAAAAATTAGAAAAAGATGGTTTGTTATAATACCCGTCTACCTACCACTATTCTCCCTCGATTTACTGGAAAGGTTCGAGAATAAAGAATTTAAATTTCTTCAAGGACAATCTTTCAAGAAATTGTATTGATGATATTCTAATGTCGTGCTATGATTCATTTGGAATTAAACGAAATTAAAAAAAAAAAAAGAAAATAAAAAATCCAGAAAAAGATCCAGAGAAAGATTCAGAAAAGAAACAAAAATATAACAAAAAAAAAAAGCAAATTATTCAAGATAACGTTCATTTTTTTCAACGATTAAAAAATTCAGATCTTCGCTAAAAGAAATTATAAATTAAGCACCTAGATTATCTTTTCATGGCTGTTTCTTTTTTTTTTTTTTCTTTATTAGCAGTAAAGTGTAGTTAGTTCATGTATTTTTAAATTAACCAAGACAATACTTTTGAATATTTGCATTAAAAGCCGAAGCAATCGTTCACGTTTCCAAATACCAAGAATTAATTAATCTCCATGTCTCCCTTCTCTACGATATCCATCCCATTTTACGATTCTCGTTAAAATCAACATTTGTAAAGTCATCAAGATGCTTTCAATCGAATATCCAATCCACGATAATAATAATAATAATAATAATAATAATAATAATAATAATAATAATAATAATAACAATAATA